TAACAGGAAGAACCCCGGCGCGGCGGCGCCCCCCGCCACAGAGGCGGGGGGAAATTGGGAACCAGTGCTCAAGGGGAGGCCACTCAAAAGCCAACTCCCCATGGACACCGGCTTCACGGAGCCGCCTCTGCCCCCTCTCCCTCTCCTCCCTCCCCCACGCTACTGCCTCTGTCTCAGAGGTAGCAGTGCAGGGGAGAGGTGTAGGTGGGATGCCGGAGCAGCCCCTGTGCACGGGGAGCTCAGGCCACCCTCGGACAGAGGCTGTTCCATGGGATGTCCTGCACTGCTGCATCTGTATCAGAGGCAAGCCAGCTCCTGCCTGAGACAGAGACAGAGGCAGGAGTGCAGGCTGGCAGGGTGTCTCCCTGGGAGTGGGGCCTGGAGCTCACAGGCTGCCGGCCCGCCTCGGGGCCCATCGAATAATCATGTAACCGATAGAGTTGGTGCAGTTACACTATTATTAAATTAAATGAAATGGCATCTAACATTCCCACTCCACATTGAATTTCCTGGCTTTTGACAATTGTTTTAACTTTAATGACATTGAAAGGCCGTTTGAGAGCCAAGGAGAAGATGAGATTTCACTTTTAATAACCATTTTCTAAAAACACACCCAACTTGAGGAAAAATAGGATTTCTGAAGCTGTTTGGGAAGGGAGATTGAATATTCAAAATGCATCTTTAAAACAGATAAGAAAAGCAGTTCCTGGCAATAACTTCCAAGTCCTGTATCTCTAGCATTTAATCGGTTTCCAGAAGTACCAAAATGGAAATCCTTCCTTGCATTAATCAGCTGTTAAACTGTGCAGATGAGAACAGAGCAATGTGTGTGCAAAGATGCATCTTAATTTCCTTTTTGCTCTTGTACTATTGTACTAACCTAGCTATTCATAGCCCTCTCTAACCCAGGCTTAACGGCAAACAGTACTGTCTCCGAACTGAGGCTCTGTGAGCAAACTTTCTAACATTTGGTTCTTTTGCTGAGTTATCAGGCCTGTTTCAGATTCATTTACACTCTAAACCATTGGGTGCTGGGCTACAGTTGCTTAGGCATCATTGGGCTTCGTGAGTTCTGTGTCTTGTGAAGCTCACTAGTTGGTCTGTAGGTTTTAACTTACTTGGAATCCTCAGGATCGGTTTATACCAGCTTGAGGGGTTTTCCTTTTCTTCCATCTCTTGGTAAACTTGGCTCAGGCCCTTGCCGCCTGCCCACTGTCTTCCTCCCCTTCAGTTAAACTAGAACCTGTAACCTACCTAGACCTTGCTGATCTAATAGCACCTGCTACACCACTGAGGACATCCTGTAGCCTGCTTCCTCTTTTCAGGCCTCACACTGCTTGCAGAATACCAGCTCTTCCTTCCCTGATAGATGATCCAGCCAGTAACCAAAATTTGGGGTTGGGAGCTAGTTTTAAGGGGAATCTGGACATGTTAATAAATTTCCTAATTGGGTGAAGAGGATTCTGGGAGGAGATGATCATAAGGTGATTCAGCTTCCACCTTAAAATCCTAGCATGATCCCATCTGCTAGTAGCCCAAAACACTTCCTGTTACTGGCATTGCATTCCCTAGTGGCTCTTCCTCGGGCCTTTAAAAGCTGGCTCGTCTCCAGGTACGGATTGTGTGGGTTTGTGACCTCCAGGCTATCCCACGCTGGCTTTAGATGTGGGTACAGAATTCCTCCAAAGTTAATTCTAGAGGGGCTTCTCTGGCCGATGTGGGCAGGTCTCCCGCCCCCAGATAATCGTTTGCTGAATGTGCCCCAAAGACTAAGACAGCCTCTGTCCTAAGCTAAGCAATAGCATGGTTTTATACCACTATTCCCAGACACCTAATCCTTGGCTTGTACCAGAGCATGAAGAGAACAGAAATCTCCCGCCAAGTTTTCTGAGCCCATCATCAGCTGAGGAGTATTCCTGCAGCAGCCTCTTCCTTCCTCAGCCCTCTCTCTTCCCAAATAG